GGTGAAACGCTTTCCTCGATGGGGAAGGGTGAAACGCTTTCCTCGATGGGGAAGGGTGAAACGCTTTCCTCGATGGGGAAGGGTGAAACGCTTTCCTCGATGGGGAAGGGTGAAACGCTTTCCTCGATGGGGAAGGGTGAAACGCTTTCCTCGATGGGGAAGGGTGAAACGCTTTCCTCGATGGGGAAGGGTGAAACGCTTTCCTCGATGGGGAAGGGTGAAACGCTTTCCTCGATGGGGAAGGGTGAAACGCTTTCCTCGATGGGAAGGGTGAAAAAACTCTTTCGAAAGATTAAAGAACGCTTTCCTCGATGGGAAGGGTGAAAATTTTCCTCTCTCGAAAATGAATAGACCTTTCTTGTAGGGAAAGGTAAAAATCTTCCTCGAAACCTTTCCAGAAAATATATTAGTTTCTTTAATTTAGTAAGAACCTAATAAAAAAAATACATTATTAACGCGTAATTTATCAAAAAAACGACGTGTCAGATCATATGATTTCCGATCTTACCCGTTGTAGATCTTTACTAATTGGGTGGCCGCTTTCCTTATGTATTTGTACAATGTACAGTACCCGCATAAAGTAACGCCCATAAAAAATTTTATTTTGGTTTTGATATATACAATATTTTAATATTTTGTCATTTCCCCTTTTGCCTTTAGCACCGCGTTTATTCTTCTAGGCTGGAGGCAATAACTTCATCGAAAAATGGAAATATCAAGATTTTCCCATTTTTTTAATGTGGTTTTTAGCTCATCTATTGTTTTTGGGAAATTATAATGACCCTGAACTTTATCATTAAGTAATTTTCAAAATTCTCTATTGAATTTATATTTGAAGAATCGATGGGTTAAGTTATGACTTTAATTTTTTTTGTCTTTAACCATTTGTTTGTAATTTTCGTGGTGTGGATCAATATTGAAAGATTGATTTTTTTTCTTTATATAAAAAAGAACAAACTTTTATCTAGAATCCTAACATAAATATTTGTATTAATTTTTTTGACTTTTTCCTTATTTGTACAAAAATTAAATTAAAATTAGGAAATATTTTATATATTACTTTTGTAATAATTATATATGCAAATTAGATATTACTTTATATGAGAACTGTATATGCAGCTACATATAGCTTATTTTATTAGCATATTGAAAATTCAGAAATATAAATCACAAAAATTTTCACTAAATAATTATTAGCAATATAGTTAAATATAATCAATAAATTATGTTTTATATTTATCAACTTAGTTAAAAACAAATATATTGTTTTAAATAATATTGTTAAGAAGATTTTTATAAATAAAATAATATATAGAATATATAAAAATAAGGTTTTCAAAAAAAAAAACTTTTTTCTGTTTCTTTTAATTTTTTAATAAAACAAGTTTAAAACTTTTGATAAGTTGTATTTTTTTAAAAAAAAACTTTATCTTTTCTTTTATCACACCAATCAATATAGTATAAAAATTTTTAGTTTGATTTTTTTATATCAAAATTAGTATTAAAATCAAAACTAAAAAATTGATATTGATTTTATTAAAATTAATTAAAACTTTATTCAAAAGTTAATAACTATAAGCTAATATAAAAAATAATTTAATATAGTATAATATATATTTAAAATAATTTATAAATAGTAATTCTTATAAAAGAAATATATTAATTGAAAAAATAAAATAAAATAAATAAACTTTATCACTTATTTAAAATCATATTTTAAAATATAATAATTCACTGATATGTATACAGATTAAAGAAATAAAATTTCTACTATAATTAATATACTTGCCTATATTATAATTTATTATAAAAAATAATTACTTATTTTTTTTATTACTATTTTTAATGATTTCTAAAAGAAAATTATATTTATAACAATATATAATAGTTTAGTAAAATAAGTATTTTATTATTTTCTGATTTGAAATGAAATAAATAATAAAGTTAAAAATAATTACAGCTTCAAAAACTGCCTTTTATCTTTATAATAATTGATATTATTATATTTTATTATTTTATATAAAAAAAAACAATTTTTATAAAATTATTTACAAGATTATTAAACTATTTTTAATTTATTATAAAAAAGTATTAATATAGTTATGAACTATTAAAATAAGTTAGTTAATAAATATTTAATTATAGATTATCTTGTAAAGAATTAATTCTTTAAAAAAAAAATCATATCATATGAGCGGGTTTGATTTTTTGGACCTTTTTTTATATAGTAATCAAAATTTAATTACCCCAAATTTTCTATTATAATTTGTTAAACATCATCAAAATAAAATCTCAAAACAAAAATGCTATTATAAAAATACCGACTAACCCATCACTTTATTGCTCAACCCATCACTTTATTGCCCAACCCATCACTTTTTTTACGAGGTAAGGTATAAGCAATTGTAAATTTTAGTAACAGTTATTTTAGTTACTTTCTTAACATTAATTCAT